AAGTCAAAGAGCCTAGCGCGGGCGCGGTCCATTTCATGCGGCCCGCTCTGACCCCGCAGGGGTATTTTTTTCCAGTTTTTCCAGCCTAGTATAAATAGAACATTTTACCATTTTCAGGTCATCAGTTATTTCCAGATTTTGAGCTGCGCTCGTGAGACTCATTTTGTGGCCATTTTTGGCATCTTAGCTTTAAATTAACGATAGATTCTTGTACTTTAATTTAGTATTCAATTAATATGTCTTGTTCTTCATCTATTTCTTCATTTTCTCCTTCAAGCATGAGTAGCTAAACCTATTAGCTAGGGTTGTAGCTCAACCCTAGTGTGGGTAATTGATGGGTGTTGCCATCTAGAGTTAGATTGACTATGGGTGTTTGCTATTTGGGTTGATTTTATGTTTTAATCTATAAATTCGTGGTTGCAAAAACTGATTTGTGCTTTGTGGATTTGACTCTTCTTGAGAAAGGAGTCTAAGTCTCCAAAATTGACCCAACAAGGAATTGGGATGGACTCATGAGAAATGATAGTCCCAATCAACGGGTTAAACCTCGAGAGAGTAATCACCCTACTTGAACCCTAGTTGCTCGATCTAATTTGCCAACCCATTTGGTCTCGGGAGAGTCAAGTGGGAAAAATCACTCTCTCTATCGAGAGGTGTGAGAGTGGGTAAAATTGTACAACGGTTATAGCATAAGCCCCAATTATGTCAATCGAACCTTAGTAACATCTACCCGTCAATTAGCCACCTAGGTGAAGTCATGACCCTAGTGCCTTTCTTACCATTAGATACAACCTTAGCAATTATTTCGTAGCATAATCTAGTTTCAATTAGTAGTTTGATAATAGTAGTTTATAATTTAAAAACCCAAAAATATTGGAAGTGACATTTAGAACAATTACACGACTCTAGTCTAGATAGATACCCAACTCCAATTTCTAGCTCTCTGAGGAATTCAATCCCGACCCTCATATTGGGTAAAAGCTATTACGACCCTCTCTTCCTACTTTATAGTAGTGTGGAGTTGGCAGCGATCAGTCCACACTTCCATCTCAACATCCTCATTTCGGCAACTTTCAACTTCTGGACATGGGACTTCTTTATGGGTCGTCACTCAGCCCCATACAACATAGTCGGTCTAACCATCACTCTGTAAAACTTGCCCTTAAGTCCAGGTGGCACATTATTATCACACAAAACCCTTTAGGGGAACCTCCATGTCATCCACCCCGCTCCAATACGATGAGTAACATCCTTGTCAATCTCCCTGTTGCCTTGGATAATAGACCCAAGATACTTGAAACTATCTCTTTTGGAGACGACTTGAGTACCAATCTTCACTTCTACTCCTTTTTAATGTATCCCATCACTGAACTTGCACTCCAAGTACTCAGTTTTTGACTTGCTCAACTTGAAACCCTTAGTCTCTAGCGTCTGTCTCCAAACTTCCAACCTAGCGTTAACTCCGTCTCGCGTCTCGTCAATCAGAACTATGTCATCAGCGAATAACATATACTAGGGGTGGGCATAAAATCCGAAAAAACCAAAATCCGAACCGGTCCGAATTAATTCTGTATTTCGGTTTCGATTTTTTCGGTATTTTGGTCTAATTCGGTATTACATTTTCGGTATTTTGGTACAGTTCTCGGTATTAGGATCTTGAAATTTTGGTATACCGAAATACCGAATTACCGAATTTGTAATGACATTTTAAAAATAATTCTCAGCCAAACTCCAGCGCCCCAGCCCAAGCCCAAGACTATGTCAATTGTCTTACTCTTTCATTCAATTAGGGTCTAAAGAGTAAAGATCTAAAACTAAAACTCTAAAGTCTAAACTCTAAAGAGAAAGATTAGGGCAGCAGTCAGCACCAGCATTAGCGACTAGCGAGCGGCAGACGGGCAGACGGGCGACGGCAGTCACAACTCATCACTCACTCCTCACAACTCCTCACTCACTCCTCCATAATTTACTTGAAAGGTATGTTTCTAGTTTCTTCCATAATTTACTTGAAAGCTTTCTCCTTTTTTTTTTTGATATGGGAGGTGTACAGAGATGGAGATGATATTAGGCAGATGGGACTTAGACTTTAGATTATTAGCGAAGAACTCTGTTGATGGTGACTGAATTTTAAAAATAATGGTAGTGTATTGATTAGAGAGAGAGAACAAAGTTGTCCGAGTTTTTATGAAAATGAAAAGTGAATTACCTGTTATTTTCTGTTTGATTTCTCATGTTCCTTGTGATCGATTACAATAGTTGTCTACATTTGTTTGCTTTGTTATAATTCTGCTCTAGCTGTTAGTTTGAAATTGAAAACCCGAGTTAAAATTGTTCATAGTGCTTTAATACCCTGTGATAAGTCAGATCTGTTCACCTATTTGATGTTAACTCGATTCTCTTCATAGTAGTGTTGTTTGATTCACCAGCACGTGCTGAATATTGGTTATGATTAGAGTAATTAGAGTATTGGTTATAATTAGAGTATTGGTTATGAATTCTGTTGTTTGATGTATTGGTTATGATTAGATTAATTTAGCTTGATTTTTCAATTTATTATGTGTAAGATAACTTCAGATAAATTTAGCTTTAATCTTAATGTTAATCTATAGTGTATATGTTCTTTTTATTTGTTGGGAGAAGGAGATTATAGATGATGAATAGCTCAATAATTTGTTCCATAGTTGTAAAACAAAAAAAGGTCTCAACTTGCTCCTTCATTTTACCTTATTTGTTGAAGAGAGGACTAAGTTCAACTCATTTTTCTTTTGGAGCAGTGCTTACAGTGTTCTTTCTATAGTTGAATCCATACAAATAAATTCTTTACCTTATTTGTATAGATGGCAGATGAAAGTAGAGTAAGTGATGCTGGTTCAAGTGAAAGTTTACCTATTGCTCAAGATAGCAACACCAACACCATTGATACTCAAGATTCTAAGAAAAGAAAATCCATGCAACCTAGATCCGATGTTTGGAATTTTTTTGATAAATTTGAGGTAAATGGGGTTGGTAAAGCAAGGTGTAGATATTGTAAGTAAGCTTATGCTGCTAATTCATCTAGGAATGGAACAACCGGATTGAAAAATTATTTGACTAGATGCAAAGAATACCCACCTAACATTGATAAAGATAATAGTCAAACAAAGATAAATTTTCAATGTTGCCAAACTGATGGAGGATCACTTTGGAAATTTGATCAAGAAGTGGTTAGGAGGGCCTTAATTGAGATGATAGTTATTGATGAACTACCATTTAGCTTTGTAGAAAATGAAGGCTTTATGAAGTTTATGAGAAAAACTCAACCACTATTTCGTCTTCCTTCTCATATAACAATAACAAGGGATTGTTATGAAGTTTACGGTGAATTGAAGCAAAATCTAAGAAAGTCTTTTAGAGAAGCACAACCAAAAATTGCCTCACAACAGACACATGGACTTCATTACAAAGAATAAGTTAAATGTGTTTGACAGCCCACTTCATTGATAAGGATTGGAAGTTGCATAAAAGAATACTAAATTTTTGCCCTATCACTAGTCATAAGGGTGAAGAGATGGCTAAAGCTATTAGGGATTGTTTGCTTGAATGGAAATTAGACAAGGTTTTCACTATTATCGTGGACAATGCTTCTTCAAATGATGTCATAGTCAAAGAATTGTCTAAAAAGCTAGATCTGTGAAAAACTAATATGATGGGTGGCAAACATCTTCAGGTGAGATGCATGACTCATATACTAAATCTAATTGTGCAAGATGGTTTGAAAGAAATTAATGCTTTTGTCGCACGTGTTAGAAATATTGTGAGGTATGTGAGAGCTTCGCCTGCAAAGACCTTAAAGTTTAAACAGTGTTGTGCACATGTAAAGGTAGATGTACCAAAACATTGTGTTTGGATATTCCTACTAGGTGGAATTCCACCTATTTGATGTTGGATATGGCACAAAACTTTGAAAAGGCCTTTGACAAGTTTCATCTTTTTGATGATGGATTTTCTGCTTATCAATGTTCTTGTGAAGATGTTAGTAGTGCAGGTCCTCTTAAATCTGATGATTGGGTGAATGTGAGGAATGTGATAGAGTTTCTTGCAAGATTTCACGAGCTCACCAAAAAAGTTTCAGGTTCACGTTATATCACTTGTAATGCTCATTTTGAGGATGTATATGAACTTTATTGTCATTTGAAAATGTGTTTAGTTAGTGAGGATGAGCATTTGAGAAAATTGGCTGAGCGGATGCAAGAAAAGTTCAAGAAGTATTGGGGTGAGCCTGAAAAGATGAATAAAATAATTTTTATTGCTTCCGTCTTGGATCCACGTAACAAATTTGAATATGTAGAGGGAACACTTGAAGAAAGTTTTGGGGAGGAAAAGGGGAAGGAAATAAATGCTGAGGTGTATGCTTATATGAATTCTTTGTTTGAAGAGTATCTAAAAAAGTATTCAACTGGAACTTGTCCTCAATCTCCATCTAGTTCTACTTCATCTAATAACACATCTAATACATCTAGTGGGAGTGTTATAATTGCATTTTTAATAAGGACGAAGCTTCACTTGAAGAAACAAAAGGAAGACAATGGAAGTGGGGGTGCTAAATCGGAGTTGGATAAATACATTAGTGAAGAACAAGAGCCTTTTAGTGAACAATTTGATATCTTAAGTTGGTGAAAAACACATGCTCCTTGATTTCCTATTCTTTCGGAGTTGGCTCGTGATGTGTTGGCCATTCCAATTTCTAGTGTGGCGTCGGAATGCGCGTTTAGCACCGGTGGCCGTATTCTTGATTCATTTAGGAGTTCATTGACTCCTAAATGTGTGCAAGCTCTTATTTGTGTTCAATAATGGCTTAGAAAAGAGAAGAATCCTATTAGTGTTGAAGAAGACTTGAAGTATCTTGAGGAACTCGAGCTTGGTAAGCTTTAATATTTTGTGTGTATTTTAGTTCAAAATAATATATCATACTTGTTTATTTGTACGACATATTTGGTCGAATTATCTTTAGATATGAAAAATAATGGAAGCACTACTAGCATTGTTTGATGTGTAGTTGCAACTTGCAACTTGAGTGGTAAGTTTAATACTCTATTTGTTTGGTGATACACTTTTGTAGTTTTGTTTTATTATCATCAAAAAATAATATTCTAACTTATGATTTATATTTTTTTTGGGTTCAAGTGCAATCATGCCCCGTGCTTCTAAAGTACGCTCTGATATTTGGGGACACTTTGAGGTGAAAGAAGATAACGGAGAAGTTCGCAAAGTAGAGTGCAAGCATTATGGTCAAGTCTATAATGTTCATCCAAAGAGGAATGGAACATTTGGTTTAAGGAAGCATATTAGGCGTTGTCTTGAGCGTCTTCCTGGAATCCGTATTTAAGAATTAGAGTCTGCTGCTACTGTTAATTCTGTTATTTTTGTTGCACTGCTGGTACTGTTAGAACACTAATTCTACATTTGCTACTGTTAATTCTGCTGCTACTGTTATTGCACTGTGTTTAATTCGGTTGGCCATTTTCAGAGAAAAAATTTGCAGCCTGTTAATGTTGCTACAGTGCTACATTCTTCTGCTATGTGTTTTTGTTAATTCTGCATTTTTGAATTTAGTTGTCACTCAGCAGTCAGCACAGCAGCATTTCGTTGTCTTTGTTTCCTGTCCCAGCAGGCCAGCACGCTATTTTTAGTGCCATCGTTTTCAGATGTCGTTGAATCAATTGGGTGTGAGGATGTCACTACAGTTATGTTCGTGGAGTTAGCTCGTTTTCATTTCCAGATTAGGAGTGTGTGTAAGCAGGATTTTCTTTGTTTCTTTAGAAACACTGTATGTTTCTTCCTTTATATTTGTATTGGTCACTTGTAGTTTGGTACTTTGGTTGCACGGTTCTTTTAACAGTTCTTTAACACTAATAACGAGTGACAGTTAGACAGCATATCGTTGTTCTTTATCAGTGATTATTAAACCGTAACCGTACCGAACCAAAATAATAAATATCGAACCGTACCGAAATATTTTGGTACGGTATTTGGTATACACAATTGATAAACGGAATACCGAAATACCGAACCGAAATATCGAATGCCCACCCCTAACATACACCATGGAACCTCCCCTTGTATATACCAGACCTACTTTTGGAAGTGGCTTTAACATACTGGGGTTTCATTCTTGACATGATCAAATGATCTTAGAATTATAGTCTCCAAAGGTAATATAATTCTAGAGCTTCTCATTTTTCTATTTCACATGTTTAGGACATAATAGCCAAAGAATGTGTAAAGCTCATAAGTTTACGACATGCCACCACAGGAGTTCAGACTTTTGTAATGACAGTTAAAGTTACGAAAGTCGCCACAAAATATTGCAGCGACCAAAGGGTCATAGGCTTAGTGAGTGATTGATAGTTTAGTTGACCTTTCACAGTGGAACGTAAGTCTTATGTCTCTTTTGTTATTGTCGCCACAAATATCCATCCACAAAATTCTTGTAGGAAGGGCTGCCGAAGAACATACTTGAAGTGGTGACTCTGTCGCCATGAATAAGTTCATTAGCAATATTGTAGTTGCGACAGATAGATTTTCATTGTTTCGTGGCAAGTTGAGTGGCCAGTGAAGGCTGGCAACTAAGGTCGCTACTAAAGCTTATCTTTCTTTTAATAAAAGAAAAAGGCTCAAATATGCCAGTGTCCATAATAAAATGGCTCACATATGCCACTCATTAATTGTTGGTCTTGAATATGTTCTAGTGGTTACTATTTTGGGCCATACGTACCATTATCCACTAACAGAATCCTACCTTGTCTAATTAGTACCATATCTTGACACGTGACATTATCTAAACCCTCCATTATTCACCAGCCCTCCCCTCTCACCAATTTTACGAGTGGTATATATGTGAGTCATTTTGTTAAGCTTAGTGGTATATTTGAACCTTTTCACAAGTCACCACCACGTACCAACCAGTGTAACACCCCAAATCCCACCATGAGCACACCAGCATGCTCTTAATTCAACACTCATTCTTTCCATAGCCATCTATACCTTATTAGTGTACAAGTTCCTAATTAGTGTGTACATTATGTGTTTTCTTTCCTTTTTGTGGGTTCCATTATTTGGACCAAGGGTGTGCCGCTACAACGATTTCATGGTAGATTTTGGAGATGAATTTAATATGGGTTTGTTTGTTACTTGGGGTGATTTTAGGTGAAGATAAAGATCGGCTCACGGTGATAAAGGCGGTCACTGCCCAAGGAAGGAGGAAGAAGAGGTGGCCAGTGGTGGCGTAGAGAAATCGGCAAAGTAGTGGTGTTTGTATTAGGACAGGTAGCTATGAAGATGGGACACCAATGAGGTGTAGTTGGATATGAAAAGTATTAGTGTGAAGATATTAAGAGTGCATGTGTGTTCAGGGTGGGATTTGGGATGTTATAGTGGCTGGGGTATGGTAGAGACTTGTGAAAATGCTTAAATACTGAGGGGGCTAGTAAATTAAATAATTGAGGCTTTAGATAATATCACATGGCAAAATCCGATACTAATTAGATAAGGTAGAGTTCCCTTAGTGGTTAATGGCACATATGGCACAAACGGTAATGGTTAGGGTATATTCAAGACCAACTATTAACAAGTGGCACATGTTAACTATTTAAGTTCAGTGGCATATTTGAGCTTTTTGTCACGTCCTTAGTTGTTAACTAAGTACACGTGCGGCACTTGACAACTCGTTCATGATCTTGCACAACTTGCTCACGTTCTTGCTATGCCAAGTCAGCCTTACTACACTCAAAATCGCTACGAGAATGTTAAAAAGAACACAAGAAAATTGTTAAAGGAAGCTTTGTATTAGAGAGAAGTTGAATTGTTTGCTTTGTGAATTACAAATGAATGACCCCCTTTATATACTAGTCTTTTAGGGGCTAGTATGTAAATATTAATTGTTATACAAGTCCTTAATATTTACAAGATAAGGTCTTTCTCGAGAACTCTCTTGAAACCTAGAAGATTCCAAGGACTTTCCTAGTATATCGATAGGGATCTAGGGCCTTCCAAAGGAAATGTCCATACTTCTCTAGAATCTTCTCACAAATGCTAGCCTTCCTCCTATGTAAGCTTCCACATGGCATTAATATATGCCAAATGGTGCCTATGTGGCATGATGACATGGCGGGTCATCACACTCTCCCCCACCTAATATTGCGACGACCGCGGCGCAATGCTGCTACATAAAATCTTGGATCTTATCTTTGAATTGGCGCAAATCTACATATCGTTCCCACGTGGCCTCCTCCGGTGATTGCCCCTTCCCATGGACGAGGAACATAACGGTGGCTTTCCGCCCTTGTTTTCGCCTGGCCTGGTAATCAATGATAGCCTCATTCTCCCAATCATGCGAGGCGGCGATAGTAATAGGCCCTCGACTTGATTGTCCCCTACTCGGATCATCCTTGTCTTCATGATATGGCTTAAGCATGCTAGTATGGAAGACATGGTAGATCTTAAGATACAATGGCATGTCAAGCTTATATGAGATCTTGCCTACCTTGGCGACAATCTTAAATGGCCCCTCATACTTGCAAATTAGATTCTGATGCATGCCCCGTAGTGCCTTGAACTGTCTTGGGTTAAACATCACCATGACCATGTCCCTAACTCTATAGTCAGTGGGACGTCGCTTACGATCCGCAAACTTCTTCATTTTCTTAGCTGCCTTATCCAAGTAGGACTTAGTAGTATCAAGTTGTTCCTCCCATCCTTTGCCCATATGATAAGCCCCCAAACTCTTTCCCTCGAACGCAACTGGTAATGAATATGGAGTTTGTAGATGTTGGCTTGTGGCTAGCTCAAATGGTGTCCTCCCCGTGGACTCACTCCGTTGTAAGTTATAAGAGAATTAGGTGATTTCTAGGAGTCTTGCCCAATCTTTCTGATGCGTGCTTACATGATGCCTCAAGTAGCATTCTATTAAGGCATTGACCAGTTCCATTTGTCCATCTGTCTGTAGGTGGAAACTAGTGGAAAAGTACAGCTTTGTGCCAAGTATATTGAATAACTCTCTCCAAAAGTTTCCAGTAAAATGGGGGTCTCGATCACTGATAATATGCCTTAGTAAGCCCCAATACTTCACCGCGTTCTTAAAGAATAGGTTGGCGGCTTACTTGGCAGTGCAACCTGGTGAGGCGGGCATGAAGGTGGCATATTTGGAAAATCTATCCACGACCACCATAATAGTACCATAACCATCGGACTTTGGTAACCAGGTGATAAAGTCCATAGTCACACTCTCCCATGGATGCTTTGCAACAGGTAGTGGCTCCAATAGTCCTCCGGGTGTTGCTCAACCTTGTCCCGATGGCATACACGACAAGTCTGCACATAACACTATATGTCATCTCGCATGCGTGGCAAATAGTAGACTAATTCAACCAAGGCCCTAGTGCGACGTTGGTCTGGATGACCAGACCACATTGTGTCATGACTCTCTCGTATGATCCGCAGTCTAATGTCTCCAAACATAGGCATGTAGACCCGCTGACCCGTGGTAAGCAATAGGCCGTCTTCTACCCCAAAACGTCTCGTCTTGCCTTGGTTGGCTAACACAATAAGCTGTTTGGCTACAACATCATGTTGCATGCCTTCTTTCATAGCCGCACGAATGTCCCAACTTGCTAAAGTGATAGCAGCAAGCTCGGCTTTCCGGCTCAAGGCATCGGCTACAATGTTACCTTTTCCCGGCTTGTACTCCAACATCAAACTCGGCCAAGAAATCCTGCCACCTAGCCTGTTTTGGTGTGAGCTTCTTCCGCGTCTGAAAGTATCTAGTAGCTACATTGTCAATCTTGAACACGAACCTCGATCTGAGCAAATAATGTCGCCATGTACGAAGGTAATGCACAATGGCAGTCACTTCCTTCTCTTGCATCGTGTAACGCCGCTCCGTCTCATTTAACTTGCGGCTCTCAAACACTATGCGAGGCATATCCTGCATCGAGACACCCCCAATGGCAAAGTCCGAGGCATCTGTGTGCAGCTCAAATGTCTTGGCAAAGTCAGGTAACGCCAAGACTAGCTCCTCTATTACAGTTGCCTTTAGGCTTTCAAACGACTTTTGACATTGCTCCGTCCAAATCCATGGCTTGTTCTTCTTTAGAAACTCAGTCTATGGTGTGGCCTTTGCTGAGTAGCCACTGATGAACCGATGATAGTAGTTGACAAGGCCTAGGAAGGATCTCAACCCAGTTACCTGTATAGGTGCCTCCCACTCCTGGATAGCACATACCTTAGCCTCGTCCATGCGTAGCTTGCCATTGCTAATGACATGGCCTAAGAAGTGCACCTTGGATTGTGCAAACTCGCATTTCTCCCTCTTGATGTATATCTCGTTCTCCCATAAGACTTGGAAAACCTTCCTTATGTGCTCCATGTGCTCCTCCAAGGTGTTGTTGTAGATGACTATGTCATCAAGGTAGACTACCACGAACTGATCAAGGTAGGGATCGAAAATCTTGTTCATAAGGGTGAAAAATATGGTCGGTGCATTGGTTAAGATGGAGGGCATCACCAACCACTCAAAAGCTCC